TTTTGGTGAAACAGGTGCAATGACTTTATTTTCAAGATAAGATTAAGATCAACATTTTTTATAAAGATACCATTGCAATGAAAATGCATTTCCTTCTACAAAAATATACCAAAACGCAGGGTACAAAAATCACCTAAAAGCACTAAAAAACTCAATTTATATTAATCTGCGATACGATTTTCCGCTGAAGCGAGTTATAGCGATATATCTCGTGTCTTTCTAACACGTGCATTTCTACGGAAGAAAGACGCTGAAGCGGAATTTGGTAGCTGAAGCGAAAATCCCAATGTGTAAAGAGGCTATTATCCGTTACAGCAAGCAGATAACAGATACTTTCCCACGAATCTATTATATCCTTTTAGTCTACGAGTAACGGGTGTAATTAATATTTAAATAATAATGAAAATTTTTATTTTCATAGTGAATGAAGCATTAATTAGGGAAATGCCATCGCACAACCTTCCACTATTTCGATGGCAGGCTAAATGGGAAATTACGGATGCATATACTAGCTCCTATAACATGTAATTTTGCTTTAACTGACGAAATCAGTAGAATTTTGGTTCTCCTTCAGTTTTGATATTTTGTCAAACAAGATATGAAAAATCGTGTACGATATGATCACTACTGTTTATAGTGTCTTCCCACAGATATCCACAATCTACCATCCGATGAACGGATGGTCCATAAGGTTTCGCCGTTCCGAAAATTTCCCAGTTAGTGCGATAGTTAGGCGATGTTTTCTAGGTGCAACTCTGAGCTCTTCTTCAGTGGAAATTGAATAATTTACTACGAAAACGTAAACAATGATAACAGGGAACAGTCGAAAATGGAAGGCGCAGAAGCAACAGGTTATGTTAGATTAGCCAGATCAGCTGTTTTCGGATGGTAGATGGTGGATGTGCTCTGTGGGAATCGAAGTTTCTCATTTAAAAATGGGAGGCACAGAAGCAACAGGTTTTGGTTTGATGCACAGGTTTTCAAATCAGCTGTTATCGCATGGTATATAGTGGATGTGCCCTGTGGGAATCAGAGTTTAACATTTGTCAAATTCTTAACCGTTTCGAACGGCCGGTCACTAAGGGAAGGGAGTATTACCAAAGAGAGGCAGATGTGCGGAGGTTCCCTCTATTTCTTTCTCGCTCTCAGAAAAAATTTCGGCCGATCCGTTATTTCTTTCGCGCCTCTCTGTTTTGTTCGGCTAGCAACTACCATTTTAATATTTTAAAAAACTAATATTGTTTTATAATTAAGCAAATTGAATTTGCTTATAACGTTGAGCCTTCGTATTATACATTAATATTAAAATATAATTTTTTTGTTAAGTTTTAGAAATTTAGTCCGTTAAAATTGATTTAAATATTTAAAAAATTTTAATATCACCTATTTTAAAAAATTCATATTGTATTTCTTACTCAAGAATTATACAGTCGGATATTTTTCGCTTTGGAAAGGAAAAGAAAAGAAATCAAGTAAAGGGGTGAGAGGAAGACTTGGTTCATTCTGTTTGAATAATTGAAAGGAAAGCAAGCCATTTAAATTGTGCGCCTCAGATTTACTTTTTTTGTTTTTTGAAAATAATAAAGTCAGGTAAAAGTTACATTAAGTTTAAGATGTTGTGCATTGATCTTAGTTTAAAGTATTAAGGCATTTAATGGGTTCCGTTAGCCGAAAATGGACGATGAAATGTTTTGTTTTTGAATAAAAATCATGCAAAGGGTGAAACACAGCTCTAAAACGTAAATATGCAAATTGTGACGAGCCAGCCTAGAAGGCGCGTACGCCACAATCATTTTTACTTTCTTTATAATAGCTTTAAGAGAAATATCGTGAATTACAATAAATATTAGGTCAAATTAGGAATAAATAAGTTATAGCTAAGTTCGCGGTGGTTACGCGTCCGATTTTAAGACATAGATTTATATATAAAGAAGTCAGCTAAGGTTAGTACGACCAGAATATCCTGTGCTCAAAACGGTGTAGCGGACCTGAGTGAGGATAAATTGAATAAATGGTAAATAATATATAATCGCACTTCTCGATCGTGTGCTTCCTTCTCGTAGTCAGTCACTAAGTCTAAACTAACCTTACCTCATTCACACTGCTGCTTCGGACCTGAATGTGGACCCCCTTCCCGCTTGGTCCAGTAGTTATTCCTGCCTCTTTCGTAGTTTTAGGATTTGCGCATGGACACCCTTCCTGCCTTATCCGAAATCCTAATTTTCCCGCCACCTCCGTAGTTTTTGGGATTTGCGCGTGGACACCCTTCCCGCCTTATCCGGACTCCTAGTTTTTCCAGCCTCTTCCGTAGTTTCGGGACTTGCGCGTGGACACCCTTCCCGCCTTATCCGGACTCCTAGTTTTTCCAGCCTCTTCCGTAGTTTCGGGACTTGCGCGTGGACACCCTTCCCGTCTTATCCGGACTCCTAGTTTTTCCTGCCTCTTCCGTAGTTTCGGTATTTGCGCGTGGACACCCTTCCCGCCTTATCCGCAGTCCTAGTTTTCCTGCCTCTTCCGTGGTTTGTGATTTGCGCGTGGACACCCTTCCCGCCTTTTTCGCAATCCTAGCTCCTTCGTCGTTCTGGGGCTCGTGCGCGGCCCCGCCCTCGTGCTACCTGACACCCGCAAAGTATCCCCCCGGCTTGGCCACGCCCGAGGGTCCAGCCCGGTGGATTTTTCGCCTCCGACGCGAGACCCAAGACTTCCGCCCGCAAAGTATCCTCCCGGCTTGGCCTCGCCCGAAGGTCCACCCCGGTGGATTTTTCGCCTCTGACGCGAAATACAAGACTTCGGCCAGCCCGTTAGGTCGCAGCATGGACTGTGCATAAGCAACGTCATCTGCGTTTTCCTCGACGCAAATAAGGACCTCTGGTGAAGACTCCCCTCAAAGTTACCCGTTCCCCCGTGGAGTGGAACCCTCTAGTCCGGTGTTTCGGTTTCGGATTTACAAATTTTCTTGTAAAGGACTCTTGGATCCGACTGAGATCTGTACCCCAGCTTACAAAATAAACAAATAAAACGCGTTTTTTAAACATATGCCCATAAATTTTTTAAGGAAAGCGATGACCAATGTAAGGAGCAAATTAACGTAACATAAAACTAGGCTTACTAACAATAACTAACTATTTAATTAAAATGAATTTAAAAGGAAATAAAAATATATGTACTTTAAATTCTATATTTTCATTGGAATCTCATTGGAAATATTCTGAATTGCACAGTGATTTCACGTGGGACGTGTCATTGGCACGTGACAGGCTATACGACAAATGAGTATAAGGAACAAGTGAAATCCCGTGGGACTTTGAAAAATTTTCATTTGAATTTTCACTTGTGAAAATGCGGACATCCCATACAATTGTCTATACCCTTCAGTTCCAAAAAAAAAAGTTTCACTTGTGAATCACCTTGGGAATCACCTGGGACATGTCCTCGTGCACAAGTGAAGAACAAGTGACGCTCCATATAGAAAATGGCCTGTCACGTGCCGGTGACTCGTCCCAAGTGAATCACTTGGGAAAATCAGAATTTTTCCTTGAGTTTTCACTTGTGAAATCACTTGCAAGGGACACGTCCCAAGTGAAACACTTGGGAAAATCAGAATTTTTCCTTGAGTTTTCACTTGTGAAATCACTTGCAAGGGACACGTCCCAAGTGAATCACTTGTGAAAATCAGAATTTTTCTTTGAGTTTTCAATTAAAAAAATATAGAATTTAATTCATTTCATTTTAATTCATTTTAATTATATGGTACTATTTAGATTTTCAAAAATTGTACAATTATTGTTTCTGTTTTTTTGCTTCGTAAGCTTATTTTTAACGTTAGACATCGCCGTTCTTAAACCTTTGTCCGGGTCCTCTGAATCCTTGGCCAACGCTCCTGAAAAAACATATGTTTAAAAAATGCGTTTTATTTGATTAATTGTATTTTTACCTTTTATAGCTTGTTGCAGAATTTTTATTGGCACAAAACATTTCGTCATCCACTTTCGGCTAACGGAACCCATTGAATACCTTCAAAATTTACGTACTTTAAACTAAGATCAATGCACAACATCTTAAACTTAGTGTAGCACTTACCTGACTTTATTATATTAACTAAACGATTAAAGTAACTCTGCTGCGCACCATTAAAATGGATGCTTCCCTTTCAATCACTCAAACAGAATGCACCAAGTCTTCTCACCCCTTTACTAGATTTCTTTTGTTTTCTCTTCGCTGTTGACGCGTGCCACTGCACCTATACCCTTTCTAAAGTGAAATATATCCGACTATATAGTTTTTACTTCTTGAGTAAAAAATACAATGAGATTTTTTTTTAAATGTTAATACTTAAATGTTTTAAATACTTAAATCAATTTTAACAGACTAAATTTCTATAACTTAACTAAAAAATTATATTGTAATAAGAATGTATAATAAGTAAATATAACATTATAAGTAAATTCAATTCACTAAATTTTACTATAATCAAATAGTTTACTTTTATAAAACAATATTAGTTGTTTTTTTCGATACACAATAATGCTCCTAAAATATTAGGGCATTCACATGTCGCTTCTCCACGAAAATTTTTCCGCCGAAATATTAGTCGCTAGCCGAACATAACGGAGAGACGCAAAAAAAAATAACGGACCAGACGAAATTTGTCTCTGCGAGCGCGGAGTGCAGGCAGATTATAAGACAAGAAAGAGAGGGAAATATCCGAACATCTGCCTCTCTTTGTTGAACGATCGTTTTCGTGGGCAGTCTTCTACGCTGCGCCGACTGCTCTGCTGACGTCAACAGCGGCACAGCGTTTTAGGCACAAAAAAAAACAAAAAAAGCTTTTTGCCTTGAGCCATGTCACCGGTCCCTACTGCAGAACTGAAGGGAATCAGAGTCTCACATATGTGAAAAATTTCAACCGTTTCACATGGATGGACCCTGTGGAAAGAGGGTATAACCCTTTCCGTGTTTCTAGCCACCATTTCCTTTTAGTCGCAAGGCAAACCTTAATATTGTTATGTTACATTTGTGTCGTACCCTTTGCTATTACTCTCAAAGCACTAAATTGCTCCTGGGATGTATTTTATTTAACGAGGAATAGGTTTATTACATTATTATATCAAATATAAATAAAATGGAAAAGAGTGTATCGGAATGGAAAAACGTTGATCTCTTCTATACAATCGCCCTACCATTTGTAAAATGTCCGACCACTGCAGAAATATTGTGCTACTGCTTTAACGAATCAAAAACTACCACAGAGGAAATCCAAATAAGATTAGTAATATGCGAACAAAACGGAAATATTCTTGTATACCTTTCGAATTGGGAATGTATTACCTTTAAATGTCAAGCAAGACCGGATACTATCACTCTTTGCTCCATTACATCAAATAACTGGCTTGCAACTGCGACACCAATATCCAATTGTGGTATTCACATTGATATATACGATTTAAGAAAACTAACCAAAAAACAAGGAGCTCCAATAATTGCGTCCGCATATTTTCAAGTCACAAGTATTGCTTCATGTATTACTGCTGTAGTCGTCGGTAATAAAATACTTTCTTTAGCCATAGGATTTGAGAATGGTGATATTCTCTTGCATTCTGGAAAAGTTACGCGAAATTTTTCTGCAAGTATTCGCAAGCATACTGTAAGTGGATACGCAATAAATGGAATACATTTTGACATTAATAACCTTGATTCAGATCCCCCAACTCAAATTATGTTTGTAACATGTATTCAAGGAGTGTATTGTTTCGTGTTGAAAGAAAAAAGTTGTATAGATCAAGCATTTATTCTCGATAATGATAAAAGTAATCACTGCAGTACGATGCGCAAAGCTGGAGACGGTGTTGAAGAGTCGATGTTGGTAGTGGGACGGGCAGATGCTATATATTGCTATACCCGTGAAGGAAGAGGTCCTTGTTTTGCTATCGAAGGCACAAAGAAATGTCTTGCTTGGGTAGGTCATCACCTAATCGTCGCCACGAGAAAATCGTGTTTAAAGCAAAACATGTCGATTCTAATTGTAGATACAGAAAACAAAATTATAGTTTTTCAAAAGCAACTACAAGAATTGTTCTACATAATCAGCGAAAATAATTTTTGCTTTATTATAAACAATGCTCATGTCGTAAATACTTGCAACGTATTAATGTTAGAGCAGCTCAATATGAGTAAAAAAATACGTCGGTTAATTGAACAGAATATGTACAACATAGCATTAAGGTTGTTACATCGAGAAGGCTATTCTAACACACCGGAAGCTGCTTTCGTAAGGTTTCAATACGGAAATCATTTATTACTAAAAGGCGAAATAAGTAGAGCTGTTGAAGAATTTATTAAAACAATTGGTTTTGTTAAACCCTATTCTGTAATTTCAAAACTTTTACATTCTAGATACAATAATTATCTAATAGACTACTTATCTGAATGGAAAAAAATTAACGGGACTATAAGCAACCACACAAAACTAATTGAATGTTGCATTAATCGTGAGCAAGTTAAGCATAAAATAGACCAGCTATCTCATGGAGTTGAACCCTTGAGTTTAACAAGCAAGCCGGAAAAAAGAAATCTTTCAAATTTATCAAAAATATATTTTGAATGGAAACTTCAAAATCAGAGCAGAGTTGGAGAACATTTATTGCATCGATTTTTGGAATATGGACCAGAATCTCTATTAGTAGATCCTACTACTTATTTAGAAAACATAAAAACGGAACATTTAAATACACCCGAAAATGTTCTTTTATTTTTTTCCATTTTGCCACAACAAAACGATTACTGTGCCAAAATGTTAGCTGAAATCATTGAAAAATTTCCCAGTTGTAACAAAAAATTAAATTTGTACTTACTTGTTCTCTATCTTGTTTTATGGCGAGGAAAGAAAGTTACTAAAAATATTATTTTAGAGTTTTTAAGAAAAGAATGCTTGCCTTTGGACAAAGTTTTAATTATTTGTAGGCTGTATTCGTTTTTTATTGGGATACAAGAAACGACTAATAACCAAAAGAACGAAACATTGCATCATGAATTAGTTAATAAATGTATACAAACACTAATTGAAAATAATCCGGAAGCGGCTTTAAATTTTAATTTAAGTAAAATAACATTTCTTATGATGCTTAAAAGTTTTTGCTCTAGTGATAAAATAAAAGCATTGCAGATAAAATCTGTCCTAAGGGAAAGAATAATTGGCGATATAGTTGATTCAGCTAATGAAACCAAGTTAATTAAAGATTTTAATGATAAGATAACAAGATCTAGTTCGATGCTGTCTCTCTATACGAACAATCCAATAGAATTTCGTAATGATTCATGTGACACTTGTCGTGAAACCTTGAATACGCAGTCCATTTACTTTCTTTGTCAACATTCCTTTCATAAAGAATGCCTTAATTATAACTCAACCAAACGGGTGTGTGCTGTTTGCAAAACAAAAAGCAATTTGGGGAAAATAAAAAGTGTAATAAATATTAATTCTGAACCCTTAAATATTATTAATGTGATTGCAAAAGTAGTAGCTATAGGAATTAAAAAGCAAGGAAGTGAAAGTATAATTCAAAAATCTGTTAAAACCATAGCGGAAAGGAATTACCCAAAAGGACGTCAAGGCAAAAGCGAATCCGCTACATTTAATAATCTTTTCGATTAAAAATTCATATTTTATGTCCCCCACATTAACACGTTTTAATTTATGTATTTAATATAATAAAAAATATATTGTATATAACAAACTTATTTAATTTTTCAAACAAATTGGTTTTCCTACTAAAAACATACAGGGCTCTTCTTAGTTTTTTTAAATTTGTTTTAGAGATACAGTAGTTCTTATTTCCCCTTTTTTTCCGAGTTCCCCTATTTTGAAAGCTTGCTTTTTAAATATCTTCTCTGTGGGCCAAGTTATTAATTTTAGACCGCTTAAATCGCTGTAATGGCAAACAATTTCTCGCGTTGTGGGCGTTAGAGTGGGCGTGGCACCCTGCTGAAAAAGCTTGCGCTGCGTAATCTCTAGATTCTGGATGCCTAGTCCCAACTAGCTCTTGTAGTTGGCTTGATCGACTGCTATTAATCCTGATCAAGAATATATAAACATGGTGTTACACACTTTCCGACGAATATAGTATACCCTATACCAATACGCTTCCACTATCAAGCACATAGCATCCTGCTAGTTGCCTCCTTTTAGGCATTAATGAGGGGCGAAACCTCCCACATGAGACCCACGCGATTATCATTACCTCGTTTATACTAAAAACACTAGGAAAACTTCTGGATCTACACATCAGGAATGATGTAGGAAGACTTATTTTAACCAACCAGCATGCCTACAACAAAAGTCAAAAGAGAATGCTCTTAACAATAAGGAGTATGCTCGACTCTCAACACTCAGGGATATACATATGTGGGATGCTATTTAAGTTTCTGGCCTAGGCCACCTCTAGCCATATAAGCCTAGTACTCACATCGACGAAAACCGCGAGCTAACCATAGGAGTGAGCGAGAGGCAAATACGCGGCTAACGCTTTTCGTCGGGTCTGTTTTTCAGCGCGGTACTCAGATGAGCTAAGGAAATACCAGAAAAAATACCTGACTTAGCGGCCCAAAGAATATGAAATTTAATCTTTGGCGGTGTTCGTGCAAAGTTATTGTGGAAACTAAAAATTATAAATGGAAGAATAACCCCAAAATCGACTGCAGAAGGTCAGTACAGATGAAATAGGACGCCTAATCCAAGCTGTTGCCCTTTTTTGTTGGATTTCACCGACAGGAAGCAGTACCACAACAGGGGCCGCAGAGTAGTTAAAGTGCTGGAGAAGATCCAAGTGGGAAGAAACAAGCCGAGTGGGACTTCGCTCTCTACATGGACATCCTGCCCGGCGTGTCCTCGCAAAGAAAGGGAGATCTAGTCAAAAGAATTTTGTTGCGTTGTACTAATATAAGTATATTTTTAGCAGAACCACTAGTAACACGACCACCACCAGCTACTTGGTAGCTTAAGCAGAGCTGGAGGACCCGCTGGCTTCTATAGGGAGGAGTAAAATAGGGCGCTCGCTAAGGAACAGTTGGAGAAGCCATAGCCAGCCTTTGCCATTTTGGGCCGCGGCTAAAGGCGTATTTTTTATGGTATTTCCTTAGCTCATCTGAGTACCGCGCTGAAAAACAGACCCGACGAAAACCGTTAGCCGCGTATTTGCCTCTCCTTCTACTTCTAGTACTAGGCTTAAGCCTTTTCACGAAAAGAGTGCATCGATGAACTTAAATCTTTGTGTGGCGATGAAGCACCATCCTAAAGCAGTGATAAAACTGGTTTAATGAATTCAAGCGTGGCCGAAGTTCGTCCAAAAACAGTCGTTGTGCAAGGGAACATTGATGCAGTCCGTAAACTTATAATGCAAGATCGACATGTGACATACCGTGAAATAAAGGCATCCTTGGGCATTTCTTTCAACAGCCTACATTCGATATTTGATGAACGCCTGGCCGTTAAAAAGGTTTGTTCTTTTTGAATTTCGAGCATTTTTGTAATCGCACATAAAAAGGCTCATGAAAATTCGGAAATATTCAATCGTGGTAATTCACAAGACGTTTATAAGATCGTCACAGGTGACAAATCATTAATCTAAGCTTATAAGCCTGAAACAAAACAACATTCGACAGTGTGGGTTCTCGAAGACGACCCAAATAAGACGAAAGTTTTTCGTGGAAGGAGCACGAAGTGGAAAACGTGATTCGACAGTTGGTTTTTTGCGCCTGCAAAAGTGTTTAAATCTTGCTGGAATATACTTTGAAAAACAATTCGGAGAAAGTTGGACTCAGTAAATTTTGGGATTTCTGCCAGAATGCTCCCTGGATTATATTGGTCTGTTTTCTATGGTGCCTCCTCAGCTTCGGGATTCTTCGTCAGCTCCCTTTTTTAGGCAATCTGGGCTTTCTTGCATCTTTTTGCCTTTTGTAAGGGTATCTCGGTGGGCTACGAAGAAGCCACCAGACCAATGCCATCTAAAATTTCATATAAACGGATGACCGAAAGAATTTGGTTTTCTGTTTATTTTTAACGTAAAAGTGTTTTTAAGTAAGAAACACAAATTATATTTTTGTCAGGACCAAAGAAGCCTTAACGTTTCTTAGTTTAACCTCCTTCCAGATTGTAGGCCGAAATTATCACCTCTCAAAATACATTTTTGATGGAGCGATTCATTTTCCCGTGCTTTAAGAAGTTAACCATCAGAGGCTCACCTAAAAATATCAAAAATAAAAATAAAGGTACATCCAAAAACGAAAACGGGAAAAACAAACATTTTTCCAGTTGTCTTAGTAAAGTAAATGTAGTTTTTTCTAATATTATTACTATTTATTATTAACGTGTTTATACAACAAACAACCTCTGATTTAGGTGATTTCGGCTCGAATGTTCGCATTTAAACACTGTAAAAGCGGGAGTGTTGGGACTTGGCATGCAGATTCTTGGGCTTCCTGCGCAGCGCAAGTTTGATTCAGCAGGGTTCCACGCCCAATCTAATACCCACAAACCGCCCAAAGATGTGGCTCCTACAGTTTTGATGCTAAGATAAAAATTTTTATAACAATAAATGTATTGTTCTCATCAATAACTATCGATTGACCCAAAAAAAGTTTTCCACGCCCATTTTAACGCCCACAAACCGCCCAAACCTGTGGCGCCCACAATATTTATGCCAGGTAACAAATTGTAACTGAATTGTATTAGTCTCGTCAATACCTATCGATTAACCCAAAAATTGGCATGCCCACTCTAACGCCCATAACGCTTAAATCTGTCTACCTCCCGCATAACCATATATTAAGAAATTGCATATCTCCATTTCCCTTTTGTCCCTATAGCTGAGTAACGGGTACCTGATAGTCAGGTACTCGACTTAAGCGTCACGTCAATACGTGAAAATGTTGCCACGCCCACTCTAACGCCCACAAGCTTCAAAAATTCGTCCATAAAAATTCTGGTTGGTTGGTACTTTACGCAGCGCAAGTTTGTTACGCAAACATACAACGCCCACTCTAACAGGCGGAGCTCCATATTGCAATTTAGCAATGACCCGACGAACTAGCTTGGTCCAAGAGCAATGGAGTGCCTAGAGCAGTGCCGCAGACGGAATAAAGTCCGGTAAGCAGGAACCGATTCTCTGGACTACTGCGGAAAGGTATCCAAGCTAACCCTATGTCTCTTCACTGAACCTTTGAAATATCGCAACAAAAAAAACAATAAAATCAGCTAAAGACCGGACAAACAAACGATAAGTGTATAGAGACAAGCCCAAAATCACTCAACAAATCAAACACATAACACTAGAAAACCAAACGGTAAACTTACAAAAAAGGAAGCTTGCTTTGGTAAGCCCAAGTTTATATACCCGTGCTGGTTTTATCTGTGGGAGAAATGTATATACATAGTGGTTCGACTTTTAAAAAATTAAGGATAATCACAGAAATGTTAAGATAATGTTACATTTAAATTAACTAGCGAATACGTTTTGCCGGAAGGAAAGTATTACGATTTTGGTATTGTTTGACATTAATTTTGGATCCTTCCTGTGGCAGCTACATATATGATGTAGTTCCATTTTTATTTATTTTTTTCGTAATTCTGAATTAATGAAAAAATGCTATATACCGGAGTAGAAGGGATTATGATCAAAAATAACTAAGCATTAATTATTTTCCTAGTATTTTTCCATTGCTAAATATGAAATATGAAATATGATATTCCTACGAGGAGATAATATTACTACTGAGGGCAAAAATTAACGAAAATTTGTTTATAAAATGAAACATTCTTATTTGTTCTTCTAAATTTATTTTACCCCCTTTAGAGCAATTCCCTCCCTACAAAATCCACTTAAGACAACGTTTTCTCCAATCCTCTGAACATGCTAAAAAGTCCTTTTCCGGTATACCCATCAGCACGATTTTTTTGTCTCCTCAATCGACTTGAAACACGTCCCCCGGTCTTTAGAGTTGTGGGAATAGCCAGAAGTCACACGGAGCCAAATCAGGCGTCGAATTTGTGCAAAATGGTCTCGAAGAACGAGTTAAATGTGAACCGCTGCATTATCATGGTGCAAAAACCAAGAGTTGTTGGGAGCTACTGGATATTGTTGTCAGATCCGGCTCGATCCGACAATAATAATAAGACTTTTGGGAAGGCTTCATCCCGATAGCTTTAACAATAAGAAAATAGTTTGCATAGAAACGGACAGACGAACAGACAAAAGGACATTTATACTTTAAAGGGTAATAAACGTCTCCTTTACTGCGTTGCAAACTCTGACTAAAATCATGATACCCTCTGCGAGGGTATACAAATTGTCTTGCTTCTCGAAGGCCCATGCGGAGCAGCGGAAAGACAAGCTAACTTCTCTTATGCGTTCTTCCAAAAAGCGCATCTTCATTTCACTGGTAGGGAAGTTAAGTTGAAGGCCAAATTAGGGGAGGTGCACTAGAGAGGTGAATTATATAAAAAATATGGAATTTGAAATTGCGGATATTCTAAGTTTGGAGGAAGAGCTATTCCCCAAAATACGTGATCATGCAAAAGCTGATGTCCAATGCAAAGTCAGAATGCACGGTGTGCCCTACAAAGAGGTCGAATCACATAAGGATTTGTTTATTATACTCTCCTATTCACTGGGTATCACATCGGTACTAAAAACATTGGAGATATTTGGGGTCGAGACACGCAACGTAACGAACACTCTTGTTGACCCATTAAATATAAATAATATTAAGTTCGAACACTTTCGGGAAAAAATAACAATAAATAATAAAAATGGCCACTGAACTCTGGCAATCTCACACGGACCCGCTGAACTCGGGGCTCTTTGGCTTAAAATCGATTGCGGCAATTTATTTAAACGAAAAATAAACGAATGAAAAATATATAATTTTTAAAGGTGCAATGAACATGAAAAATCGAATTCTCGTATCAGCTGTTTTCTCTCGACGTGACTTTGTACACGTTCGAGTGCATGGGATAGACGATGTAATGTTTCTAGAGACCATGCACTAGCATTCTGGTGGAGAGTTCTTCAACAAAAACAAACAGTGCTGTAACTATAACATTAGAAATGTTATAATGGAAAAGCTACAAAGCAGTGCAATTTTACATCGATCTTCAAACATATATAAAATTCGTGAAAGAAACCATTATAAAAGCATTATAAACCATTTTTATATAAATTCAGACACTCGAAAAACAATACGAGTACACGGTCAATTTTAAAGGAATTGGGGATCGGCAATATTCAACCAAATTGGAAAAATGTATACCGACAACATCCAGATATACCCTAAAGTTCCGAAAATAAAGTTTCACTCGTGAATCACCTTGTGAATAACGCGTGAAATGTCAGCTTGCACGAGTAAAAAACAAGATACACTACATATGGACAATCGTATGGGAAAATTATTTTTCAAACGAAAGTCACTCGGGACTTCACTTGTTCCTTATATTCATTTGTCGTATGGCCTGTCACCGGAAGGTGACACGGCCCACGTGAAATTCCTTGTAAAATTCAGAATATTTTTAATGAGTTTTCACTGAAAATATAGAATTTAAAATACATACATTTTTATTTACTTTTAAATAAATTTTAATTAAATTGTGTTATTAAGGTTTTCTGTTAAGGAACAGTTATTATTAGTAAGCCTATTTTCCTGTTTTGTTAATTTCTTTTTGACGTTGGTCATCGCCTTCCTTAAACTTTTGTCCGGGTCCTCCGAATCCTTGGCCCACGATTCTGAAAACATTTATGGGCATATCCTTAAAAAAATGGGATTTACTTCTTTATTTGTATATTTACCTTTTAGAGCTGTGTATAACCCTTTGCAGGATTTTTATTGGCACAAAATATTTCATCGTCCACTTTCGGCAAACAGCCCATAAAACGCCTTCAAAATGTACGTATTTTAAACTAAGATCAATGTACAACATCTTATTCTTAATGTAACATTACCTGACTTTATTTTTTGCAAGAAATATCACTTTTAGTAACAAAATAAATGTTTTACGCTGCGCACAATTCTCTTATCTTTTAACAACTCAAACAGAATACACCAAGTCTTCTTCTCACCCCTTTACTTGATTTCTTTTGTTTTCTCTTCGCTGTTGGCGCGTGCCACTACACTACTTACACTATATAATTTTTATTTATTGTTAATATTAAAATGTTTTAAACATTTTAACAATCTTAACGGACTGAATTTCTATAACTAAACTAAAAACAAGAAAGGAAGTTAACTTCGGTAAGCCCATGTTGGTATACCCTTGCAGTTATAATTATTAAATTTAGCAAGAAAGACTCGACCATAGCGTGAGTACCTCGACTATCAGATACCCGTTACTCAGCTAAAGGGACCAAAGGGAAATGGAGATATGCAAGCAGCAAAGCGAGATTGAAATGCGACACCTAGCCGTGATCTCAATATATGGTTATGTGGGGGTAGACAGATTTAAGCGTTATGGGTGTGGCAAACTTTTTTTTGGGTCAATCGATAGGTACTGACGAGACTAATACATTTAAATTAAAATTATGTTTCTTGGGCGGCTTGTGAGCGTTAGAGTGAGCGTGGAAAACATTTTTTTTAATAAATTGACAGGTATTGACGATACTAACATATTTCAGTTAACTTTTTTTTCTAGCATAAAAGCTTTAGGTTCCACAGTTTTTGGCGGCTTGTAAGCGTAAGAGTGGGCGTGGCACCCTGCTGAAACAAACTGGCGCTGCGCAAGAAGCTCAGGAAGCTATACACCAAATCAAAACTTTCTAGCTTTTGTAGTTTCCGAGACCTTATCGTTCATCCGGTCGGTCAGACGGACTGACAGACGGTTTGCAAATGAGCAGAGCGGAAAGGATTAGTCCACTTAAATCCAAGCGCATAGTCTTACATAACTGTCACATTAACCACGGATATTAATTGGAGTTACTACTTGTATCCACTGATTAGTAACCACGCAAGAAAACTGGAAAGCTCCTTAAACGCCTATCGAGGGAAAACGCCTACGATCCAAACGAACCAGCCCTCAACACGCGACGCTCCTTTGTACCGGACGGTCGATCTGCCCGGAGACAAGACCTGTGTTGTAGAGGTGCAGAAACATCGATGCATCGATGTTTTTCCTATTTTCCAAAACATTGATGTTTAGTTTTGACTATCGATGTTTCTGGCCCATTACTGTTCAAAGAAGAATGAGAACGGAAACACGTTAAAGGATTGTAATTCTACACTTACCCTATTATGTTAATTATAATGTTTAATAGATTTGTATGCAAATACAGGGCATGCCATTGGTGGTGTAGGCGCGACGCTACATAAGTTTTCTAATGGTGCCATTTGTGCTGTCTGTTACCGCTACCAGCCGCTAGGTGCCGTGGCGCTGGAATGTGTAGTGAGTGCCGGGCTAATGGGAAATACTTTGAATTTTATTTCATTTTAAATTTTAAACAGATAGTTGAAGCACTCGATTATAGCGATTCCTTTTGTTTTTAATATATATTCCAATGTGAATTTTATATGTATAACATTACATTTTCATAGAAAACATCGATGTTGCATCGATATTTTTTAAAAACATTATTGTTTCTGCGCCCCTGGTCGCTAGTTCCTCCAGGTTATAGGTCGTCTCCTTACATGTGTCAACTAGATTACCTAGGAATCCACGCCTTAAATCCATGACATTAAATGTTTCAAACACCTTTCCGGTAAGACCCTCGATCTGATACATATGGCCACCGGATTACGTATCCTGCTCCTAATAAATTTTCTGGCAAATTTTTGCATTTTTCTTTCCGAAGTCACTTAGAGCAAAGTTCCTCATAAAAACTTATTGCCCTGGCTTAAATATCACCTGCCGCCTGTTTCGGTTTTAATACCGTGCACTGGATTTATGTGCTCCATTTATATTCTATCGGATTGACTCTTGCAGCAATACAAATCTATCTCTATCTTTTTTGTCTCGAATTTTATGATTTTATGTTAATGTTTATTTCTGCAGCGATGCGACTGCGTTCCAAAAACAATACCGAGCGCATAAGGATGAGCCGAGAGATCAGCGACTGAATGCTCTTATCTCAGCTTATCCACACATGCACGCATACGAACGATCGAGTTACTGCATCTCGGTCGACGCCATCCTCTCCGGAGGCGGTGCTTTCCACTCTGCCGAGGCGCCACCGCAAGTGGGATAGGTTGTCGTCTTTGATGAGGACTACGCTGCCTGGCTTTACTTTGTGCTCAGGAGTGCGCCAATTCCTCCGTTCCTGCAGCAACGAGAGGTAGTCGGTGCTCGATTTGCCCCAAACTATTAGCTGCATTTGGTACACACACTGCCACCAGCTCAGACGATCGAAGTTCAGATGGGTGACGTCAGGTTCGTCCATTGAAATAAATGTAAACCCAATAAGAAAGATAGCAGGCGTCCGAACATCGATGTCATCTGGGCTTTCTGAAATTTGACAGAGTTCAACATTGCGAAAATTTCATAAGCCAAAATCGACTAGGGTGAGTTGCAGGTGAGGTTGGATTTAGTCGCCCGAATGAATTCCGACTTCGACTGCTCTTAACTTGACCTCGAACGTTTTGTTGATCAAGGAGATGGAATCAGAAGCGCGTAATACAGCATATTGTGGAACCAAAGAAAAAATAT